TCGCTTTTCCTTGTTTATAGAACGATAAATGTTTGATCATGAGGTAGTTAGTTCACTGTAAAGGTTCTGATGACGTTTACTCAGTTACACATGTTTCATCCTGAATTATTGGTGAGGATTTTCCCAGCACAAAGTATGTGACCTGACATCGAGACCAATATGGGTCCCAAGCTTGCATGGGCAGTAGTGGTGCCATGGTGGCTGATTAAGAGGACACAATCAGGCTGGCTCTCCATGCCACCAATCCAATTATAGTGCCAGTGGTTCTGCAGCCTCAGCAGTACCACCAAAATAGATCATCACTGCTCAATCTGTAAGGGAATGAGAGAGTGCCTCCATTTTGATCCACCTTTGAAGTGAAGGTGAAGAATCTGATACTGTACTACGGTCAGGCAGACAGACCTGAACGAATGGAGGGGGAGGCCTAACCCACCCCAGGGGGTAAAAACAGTGAACAAAACAGGTGATACTTGGAAATAAACATACTGGGCATGCACTTTGATGTCTCTCATACGATTTGGACCAGAATATCTCATTCTCCAGTCTTACCAGTTTTTCCTGCTGGCACAGAGCTTCTAGAAACCAATATACTACCAAGGGAATCTCCTGCTTTCATGAAGTTGCTGGCCTGCCAATGAGAAATGGGAACCATTTTGCCCATCATGGGAAAATGGTCATCAGTCATTCCTTTCATTGTGTAAACAAATTGCCCTAGTATTGTTAGAAAAATAGCCTGAGTTAGAACTGTTTTGGGGAGCCATCCCAATTGGGCTCACTGGCATTTTACTGGCACTTCCACCACCTCTTATCATGTCACTCATGGGCCTGGTTAAATATCAACCATTGAATTACTATCTTGTGATTCACTGTACATGGTTTATCATCCTTCATATGTTAAATATAATCACAATTTAATTCAGGTTATATAATGTCATCATCTCCGTATCTGTCAGGCAATGTGTGAAGTATAAATATAGTTACACCCAAGTACAGTGAAGCTTGTTCGCATGCACCTCAGAGTTACACAAATTCTTGTTGAATGTGAGTCTTGACTTCTTCTTCTAATTCTGATAATGCTATGTCCAGGTATTCCTACTACATTCATGTTTCATTATAGATAACAGTTTCTAAGTTTCTGCCACTGGAAATACAACAAATCAGATTTGGAGATAAACATTGTGTGAGACCAGCTGACTTACAGATAGATCAACATTGATGACAGACAGAGCTTTTTCACTATTAAATACGAGTTAACCTTCTCAAAAAAAAGTTCACAATTCACTATAATTGACATTAGCAAAGTTTTACAAAATGGAGGGATTCTGAACTTCTGGGAATTTCGGTTTTTATAGTTCAGATGCAATCTGAGTATGAAGGACATTCAAAAAAGAACTATCGTGATATGCTCGATTGAGAGAGATTACTTTCTAAGAAAAATACAGCTGCAAAACAATTAGGTGTTCAGATATCAAAAGATTGCATGACATAAAATGACTAATTGATGCACTGAACTAAAGTTCACCTTGAAGTAGTGATTAAAGTTGAAGGAGTAGAAAAAACTAAATTGCAAAAGATGGTCAAATGATGTAGAATATCATTTATGGTCTTATAGCCTCTCTATTCTAAAGATGTTCAGATGATTCGGATCTTTGTAAGCATCATTAAAGGGACAAAAAAATTCAACAATCATAAGAACCTGAAGATTGTTTCTCTCAAAAGCAAAAGATATGATTTGTATCAATGATGCATATTAATTTAGCAATATCCAGGTCCAAATGGATGTTCTATTTTTAATTAAAATTTAAAAATAACACATTAAAATGATGACAAGTTGAAATTGTTGAATTTATGCAGTCTTGGAGGAATGACAACACAAAACAAATTATAGATTTTTATTGTTATCTGTATATTTAAATTTGTTGTCATTTAAAATTCTTGGAGTTTGTTGTCTTGAAATAAGTAATATAAAAAGATTATGTCAAAATGTCATTAACTAAAAATGACAGCAGCAAGTGAGCGACACAGTATGCTAACCAGAGGATCATAAACCACTTGTACAAGGCATTGGCTATTATTGTGTTTAATGCATGGGCCATGGGTTCACCAATTTAAATGAACATAACAATGACAGAATAAAATAAAAAGGCAGTATTTAAAGTGCTGTTGTCTCTCCATCTCTTTAGATCATCACATACATTGATAATTCATTCTCAGGTACCCAGAAGCAGATTTAGACAGAATTTATGTGAAATGAATGGTTCTCTTTATTTCCTTTCATTTTAAATAGCTCACAGAGATTATAAGCCACTTTGTAGCAAACTCTAAAGTTGTAGTGCAAAGGTGTCAACCAATTCCTGACACTTTACAGTGCTAAACAATGCCTGTGCAATGGTTCACTTATGTCCTTTAGGGAAGGAAACTGCCATCCATACCTGGTCTGACCTACATGTGACTCCAGACCCACAGCAATGTGGTTGACATTTAACTGCCCTCTGGACAATTAAGGATGGGCAATAAATGCTGGCCTAGCCAGTGACACCCTCATTCTGTGAATGATTTTTTAAAAAAAGTTGATTATCCACTCTTTGGATTGAATAGTTGTGCAGTAAGAGTTAACCCATTGCATGGCAAAACAGACAGGAGCACTGGAATCTGAGTGGACTTTAGCCTTTGAGATCAGGCAGGTAGATCGTAACAATGAAAAAATGCTGGAAATGATAGCAAGTCAGGCAGTATTACTGGAGAGAGGGCGAGCTAACATTGAGTCTAGATGACTCTTCACCAGAGCTGCTGCCTGACCTGCTGTGATTTCCAGTATGTTTTGTTTTCAGCACAGATTCCAGCATCTCCAGTAATTTGCTCCTAGATTCTAATTATGTTTCTGGCCTTATGTGTTCAAATCTTATGTAAATTACTTTTTTTTTCAAAAGATTCAACATCAATATGCTGTTCTAGTTTAAATCAGTTAATAATAAATCAGATAACCAATATTGCATAATCCCACAAATTAATTTGGATATAGTATTTATCACATATATTAAATTCTTCTAAAGTAGACTAAAACAAGATGCCCTAACGAAACTCTTTATTTAATGTCATTTGTTGGAAACAAGCTGGAGGGCCAGGGTGAGTCAGAAAGGTAAGCAAGCAGCAATAGCATATAACACCCAAAATTAGACATGCCCCTTTTCTCCACAAGGCCTTGGTGTAACTTTAAAACTGTAATCTAATTTAGGATTCAAATACATATAAACTGCTTGAGTTTTGCTCTCATGGTTTATAATGGTATGGAAATCATTTATTTGATTACAGTTTTATAACTCTCTTCCAAGTATCCCATAATTTCAAATTAAATAATGATTTTGGGTGATATCATAAAGTATGAAAGCAAAAATTTAGAACTCAATTCAGGGCTTAAAAGCATGCCACATTTTCTTCAGGTGACAAATTTTAAAAAGAAAATGTTGTGAATATACTTTAGACAGGTCGTGCTATTAAGAATACAGGTCAAGAGAGTTCTCATCTCCATCATCATTTTGTGCTGCATTTTGAACCATCAGCCAAGTGAGGAGGCAAGACTTGGCCAGAGGTCTTCCTGCTACAGTATGTGTGATGCAGTCATTACAACTACAGGTATTAATACAGGGAGGGTACAATTTTGTCCAGGGTACAGATTGTCAGGTAGTCGAAGGGTTAACAACAACCAGAAAGACAAGGTACGTGGGAAGACCATCACCTGGAAGTCCCCGTCCAAGCCACTCATCATCCTGACTTAGAACATTAGCACCACTCCTGCAGCTTCACTGGGTCAAAATCTTGGAGTTCCCTCTCTGAAGGCATTAGCCCATGGACTGCAGTGGTTCAAGACGGCAGCTCAGCTCTACCTCAAACACATCTAGCGATGGGCAATAAATGCTGGCCCCACCAGCCTTGCCTACATCTGATGAATGATTTTTTAAAACAAAAAGACTTCCTTACCCTTCCTCATATATTAAGGACAATGATTTGCTTGGGGGTGTGGAGGGGAAAACCAGTTGACCGGATGGCGAAGATGTGTCTCAAAATAACACGACAGCACGGGTATCCGTTCTGGCTGCGGGCAAATTTGGAACTTACTTGCTCGCCCTGCCCTTGAGGTTGGAAGGCATTGGCAATCCATCACTGACAAAACCAAACCGCTCAAAATAAAAACGGGTCAAAGAAAGAGAAAACGGTTCAAGATAGAGCAGCCTCTGCACCGAGTTATCCCAAAGCGTTTGATTGATGTACTGATGGCTGTCACACTCACTAAATCTGAGCGCAAGATGAAAAATTCCCTTTTGGAGAATATGAGAGAAAAAAAACTAGAAAATTACGACGAAGTTTGCAGATTTTGGTTTGAGCTAACACTGTCTTAGTCTGTTTTGTTCTTGTCAGCTTAACTGGCTGCTGGGAATAATGCAAAGTGGAGCTTTTGAAAGGTTATTAATCTGTTTGTGGCACTGTTGCTTGAAATGTGTTGAAAAATGTTATGTAATTGATTACAAGATACAACTTGTCCAAGTCCTGAGCACAGTTTACCCGGTGCAACATCGAACAGTTTGATATGCGATTCGAGAAAAGGTGAGTAGATGAGCAGTGACAGTAGTAGGGTTGAAGTTACAACTGGTTATACTTAAGTTTTATTACTTAAATATGTTCATCAGTCCTTAGAAGATAACGGAATTGTTATTGTTTAGTTGCATGAAGAGAGGTCCTTCTCACAATCAATAATTTACAGAGTGAATACTGAAGACGGCAAAGGGACACCAACTTGTTTCTCTGGGTACTGAAGGTTAGAACCACTGTTTGGAATCCCTGAATAATAAATAAACCAGGTTAAAAATCTCCGGGGGTCAAGGCAAGAAGGCTTTCCTATAAAATCACAGACATACTAAATTACGCTCTTATCCATCAATACCCTCCCCCCCGCTCACCCCAAATATAACCTCTTTGCATCCCAATCATCCTCATACACTTACCCAAACTAGCTTTGTAACTGCGGACTGTGTTGCCATCCTTAAACCGGTAGCCAGCTTTGTTGTATTTGTCATAAAGCATCAGCATGTGCTCCGACAGCGTGTCCTGCCACAGGTCTGGTTCTGTGAAGCTGGGGCTTCCCTTCCGGTAGGAAGCGAAATCTCTTGAATTCTCTCCCAAACCACGAATTCTCCTAAGCCCGCGGAAATGATCCTTCAGCAGATCCGAGAAGCCCGCAGTCAAACAGCTCCATCCGACACACACAAACACCAGCGTGTGAAATTTGCCCATCCTCTTTTAAGAAAAAAAAGAGCCGAGAAACAGTTAAGTGGGGATTGATTGTCCTCAGAAAAGGAAGGAATAGTGTTTTTGGAAAACTTCCTAGACTTGTTGAAGCTTGCGTTGTTCGGAGCCGCTGCAGGTAGATTTTGAGGGTAGTTCTCTCAGCTCCTGGTATGTGTGTATGTGGAGCTCGGCTCACTGATGCCGTTAGCCTCTGATCGCTGTTTGTTGCTAGACCCGTCTGTCTGTTTCGGATTCGCCTGTTCTGTTCCTATCTGACTGCAAGCGCACAGTGTTATGTGTCCCAGCTCAGGGCAGAGCTTCAGTCTGGCCAATCAAACTGCTTCCCTGCCTTGAATCAAAGCAGACTTCAAAAAGCCAACTCCATCTCAGATTGTGACTTTATAAATTTTTACATAGTCCCAACTGATTGCCACGAGGTACAGCTCTTACATATAGCACTTTAACAGTTGGTTTGGAGTTTAATAGCAGGCGTTAACTTATGAGGGCCAGGAGATAGTTGAATAATTTTATTGTTGGATTGCGAGAAAGTGTTTCGTGCTCAACTCGCCTGCTCAGTCAGCTTTTTAAATTGTTATTTCTGAACAGCACTATCCCGATAGTGGGCAATCTGAAAGGATAGATATCTGCATCAGTTGGACACTCAGTCAGTGCAAACTCTCACATTAATCAGTGCAAACATGTGGGGTTTTTGTTTTGGCAGGGGACAGAGACGGTATAAACCTTCTTAATCAACAGCTCATCTTCGCGGTCATTGCTTCCAGTCGAGGCTCTTATGAACCTGTTGGATTTTGGCAGGTCGCTCCCCCTACACCGTTGTTACTTACCTGCACGTTCTCAGTGCTGATGTGAAATATATAACCACATAGTCTACAAATTACCCGCTGGGTTGGTTCACACGTTCTTTCAGTAAGTGAACAACCTCATCAGATTATCGACAATTAGTACAATCGAAATTCTCTCGGACTCATCTGGTACACAGTAGCGCAGATCAAGTTGAAAGTGTTTCAGCAAAATTGATTCTGGGGATGGATTGAGGATAATACAGTTTATTCCGGGTTTTAAGTAGGATCTACTTTCTGTTCAGAAATGAATGGCGTTAAGCGGACACATCCTGTAGAGCTCCCCGCCCGGACACAGTCGTTGAGTGTCTCTCATACACCAAATAAAGATAGGAAGAAGACTTTAAATACTCTCTTTCACGGGCATCCATGGGTAACTAATGATTTCCCGTATGCCACGATGTGTATTGGTTGACTCAGATATATTTAGGTTTCTACTCGAATAATTTTAAAAGAGTAAGATGTCAGTTTATTGTTTTAATATGTGAAACAGTTCATACTTTGGATCTATTCACAACTCATATGCCCCATGCTCTGGAGTAGCCAGGGTTGATTTATGGTTTGTCAATTGCGTTTTAAAGTAAATAATACGGTAAAATACAGTGAATAGCTTTAACTGTCACCAGTTTTGAGCAATGTTACTGGCTGCTGTGGGCTGTGGAAAGAGCCTTCCTCTCTCAGTATGCAAACACCAAGTGTCATTAAGTACTGAAGTTCTACCCATCTCCTGTGTTGCAAAGGATAGGACCTGGCCTCCTCGCTGCAGAATGCTCCAAGTAGTTGGATAATTCAGTGTCACCTGTCCTTCATGGAGAACTTTGCAAAGAAAAAACGCCTTTGACCACAAGTCCATGAGGAAGTGGTAGGCACCGGGCACCCTGGAGACCCAGATGGAAAATGAGAAAGTGGATTCTGTCATGTGGCTCCCTGAGCAGACTGTCAAAGTCATTTGGCAGAATGCCTCATCACCAGAACTTTCCAACAAGCACCAAGACATTGCTTTGCTGGTGGTGAGAAGGGCATTACCTGTAAGATCCTTCCTGCATGCCCGGACTCTCTGCAACACTGCATGCTGCCCTACAAGTGGCTGCTGTGAGGTAGAGACTGTCACACATCTCCTGCTGGAATGCGCCTTTGCAAAGGAAGTCTGGAGAATGATGCAGTGGTTTTTGTGGAGGTTCATCCCAAGCACCTTGATGAAGCAGAACTTTGTGCTATACCATCTGTTCCCTATGATGCATAGGGAGACAAACATCAAGTTCACCTGCAGGACCTTCAGCTCAGTGAAAGATGCTTTGGTCTGCCTGAAAGTTGTTGGTATTCCAGAGATAGGATATGACCTTGACTGAGCATTGCAGACTGGCACATCCCAAGGTCCAGGACTATGTGCTGAGGGACTCACGAAAGCTTGGGGCAGCTGCCTGCAAGGCAGAGTGGGCAAAGGCCACTGTTTAAGGTCCTTCTGCCAAAGTTAAATGGGGGTCCATTCAGTTATCAGATACCCTCATGCCTCTAATGCATATAAATAATAGTCTTGTACAAGGAAGAGATGCCTTTCATTTGTTTGTTGGATGGAGTCAAACTCCAGTGTTTGTTTGTTCCTTGATATGTTACTGTACAGAACCAAATTGCGTTAGTAACTATGCATACAGATATTTATGAATAAAGCATATTTTTGAAATAAAAAATTGCAACTGGTGCAGAGTACCCAGGTGTGTATTGAGAACAATGAATGCAAATACTCCAAGATATTCAGGCGTGTTACAGGTAGGTTTATGTCACTAGTCGTCAGTCATCAGCGAACTGTGTCAAATTTAAAGGCAAGTGTATTCCTGAGTTTGGCTCACATTGTGGAGGTCGCTGGGATGCTGTGCTAATCTCCTCACATTATTCTAAACCCATGGCATAAACACAATACTGCATTGTAGCTGCTCCTAAGATGACCAGTTTAACTGAACTGCCAGCAGATTTAAGTTATGCCAATTTTCCTGACACACATTTCACAAATCCCCAAACGGAGAAGCATTGCCAAGAACTGACAGAGTCACCTTTATCTGTATCTGACGTCAGTTGCAATCAGCTTTACATTCCTGGTCTTTGATTGACTGCAGTATACCCAATAGATTGTCTGCTAAACTGATTTGTGAGTAAATGGCTATATTCCTCCCTGATCAACTCTCTGCATTCTCACATGGACAGCAGTTGTAGGATCTGTCCCATTTAGCTGCCTTTCCAACTTTTCAGGAACCTTCTACCGAGATTTGTTGTCCGAAGCTGCGAACCAAACTATATCCCATCATTGTCAATACAGTGTGGAGCTGGAGGAACACAGCAGGTCAGGCAGCTCAGAGGAGCAGGAGAGTCGATCTTTAAGGCCTGAACCCCCGTCATCAGACCTGGGGAGGGGGAAGGGAGCTAGGAAATAAATAGAGGGAGGGGTGGGGCTGGGGGAAATTAAGTGGGATGGCGATAGGTGGATGCAGGTGGAGATAGGTCAGTGGGAAGGGTGGGGTGGATAGGTTGGGAAGATGATGTACATGTAGTGTCAGGTCAAGGAGGTGGGGATGAGAGGGATGGTTGGCATGGGATGAGGCTGGGGTTGGGGAGATTTTGGAATATGAGGTGTTGTTCCTCCAGTTTGCGTGTGGCATCGTTGTGGCACTGGGGGAGGCCCAGGATGGACATGTCACCCAGAGAGTGGGGAGGGGGGGCGTGGGGAGATGTTTAGCAACTGGAAGGTGTTGTTGATTATAGTGTACAGAGTGCAGGTGCTCTGCAAATCTGTCACTGTGTCTATGTTTGGTCTCACTCATGTAGAGGAGGCCACATGGGAGCAATGGATACAGTAGACCAGTTTGGAGGAAGTACAGGAGGATGTCCCATCATTGTACTGCAGGATCCTCTCTGGGCATTACTTGTTTATCTGGTCTTCAGTAGACACGTAAAAAAGACCTGAAAGTCAAATGTGAAATGGTTACAAGATGAAAACAGATGCTCCAAATCTTGGGAATGGGACGGTAATATTTCTACAGCATGCCTGAATGCAGCGTGCACATGCAGGATTTATGTTCCTTGTCTCCAATAATCGGGAAACAGAATTGCTAAAACACCATCTCTGACCATTACTGAACGTAGTCCTAAAAGTTGGCGTATCTCTGTCCTAACACGAACAGTCAATCTTAGATGATGGTACAACTGTTGAAATGGCAGCATGACATTGTTTACTTTAACTGCGCAGTCAGCGAGGAAAGGGTTAATGAGTAATCCCATAAATGTTTCCAAAAACCTTCTTAGGTACGAAATGATTAATAGGGCAGGGCACACTTTTCTTGAAGTTGGACGAGTGCCCAGTATATATCGTCAGGTTGCAACCAAAACAGAATTCGAGGGACGTAAAAAGACAGGTCGATCAGCATTTGAGAAAGGTTAAAGTCTTGGGTGGGACCTTTACATCAGGATGGATTTTATGAAAGTCACAGCCCAAACAGTAACTTGTATTCGTCATTCAGATGTTGTTTGGTTTGTTGTGCTTCTAGCATTTTCTATTCATTCAGATTGCATTAAGTAATGTGCGTGTTTATTTGTAATGTCTGTACATTGGTGTTCACATTCGGGGGTGGGGATGTTGTTAGTAGTGGATCATGCCGTTTAAAAGTGATTCAGATAAATATCAGGCGTAGTTTCGATGGCCAGAGACGCGCCTATATTTTCGTGGAAATGAACAGAGCCAGAATGTATTCAGCAAGCATCTCCTTTGAGCAGAAGTTTCTGGGTTTGCATTTCCCGCTTTGCATTGGGGAAAATTGTTGAGCTCTTAGTATTATTGTTCATTTTAGTATGAGGCAAATGAGCAACATGTCTGTCGTTAATACAATGTTACTACAGTTTATCGTGAAAAAGCTGAGGCACCTACTTTATCAAGAAAGAATTTGGCGGGAAACAAACTCCGTAACTTGAGGCGGGGGAGTGGGGATGGCAAACTGAGGAAATGCAAGAAAAAACCAGCAAGGTGGGCAACATCCAGAGAGATGGAAGACAAACCTGAAACTTTAACTGTCTGTTAATTTTCATGCATGCTGCTTGACCTGCTATTTCCAGCATTTTCTATTTTTATTTTAGATTTTCAGCTTCTGCAGTGTTTTGATTTTGTACCAAACCTATCAAATGAGTTTTCTTTGTTTTACGTTTGAATACAACTTCTGATGTTGAATGAAATTAATAAACTGATGCAATACAATACGTCAACTTAAGCGTGTGAATATTACTAAATACAATCGACTGAACACTTGGCATTATTTCATCTTACATATTCATACTTTCACACGCAAAACATAAAATACATTTAAATGAGGCGCGATGATGTATATTAAGTTTGGTGATTAGTTGAATCTTTCGAACACGGCGTGAAATAATGGTGCAGAAACTACATAGTTAAACTGCTGAAAATCTGTTAGGAAACATCTTTTGCG